ACTGTATCAGTACATCTTTAAATAAACAGAAGAGCTCATGTGAAAACATGTTAAAGGACTTTACAGTATCAGACACACAGGTAATGTTCGTTTATGCATATACTAACATGAGTGAACAATGTTTATACAGCATTTATTAGTTATAGTTCATCATATACTAATGCATTAATGAACAACTGCACCTTCATTAGCATAATAAAGATGAATACTGTGTTAATCTATTATTGATTGTGTCCCATATTGTAGTGTTCCCACAAACTTGTTTATTTGTTTAGCCTTTTCAGACACACTTAGGCACACTTTGGCTCCATTAGTACCAACTGAGCATCAACGCCACAGCCTACCTGAGTATTGCTGCTGACCATGTCCATCCCTTTATGAGCACAGTGTCTCCATCTTCTGATGGCTACTTCCAGCAGGATAACGCAGCATGTCATAAAGCTCAATCATCTCAGACTGCTTTCTTGAACATGACGATGAGTTCACTGTACTCAAATGGCCTCCACAGTCACCAGAGCTCAATCCAATAGAGCAGCTTTGGGATGTGGTGGAACGGGAGATTGGCATCATGGATGTGCAGCCGACAAATCTGCAGCAACTTTGTGATGCTATCATGTCAATATGGAGCAAAATCTCTGAGGAATATTTCCAGTAGCTTGCTGAATCTCTGCCATGAAGGATTAAGGCAGATCTGAAGGTGAAAGGGGTCCGACCTGGTTCTAGTAAGGTGTACCTAATAAAGTGGCCAGTGAGTGTATATGGCACACAAGTTCAATATATTTTGCATATATAAAATTGATATATATATATATATATATATATATATATATATATATATATATATATATATATACTGAAATCATTCAAATGAAAAAAAGCATTAATTTTATATATTTTTCCAACTACTGGAATAAAAAATATGTACATATTTTTCAAATATATTAGATATTTAATATATATAATTGTATTTTTAAGGAATTACAATCATTTATGGAACAGTTTGCTTGTACAACTTCGAATGATCCCCTGCTCACTCATTTGTCTGTTTTGGATTTTACCGTATTAATCAGTTGATCTGTTTTAATTGGTCTACCCATGCTACATTCAGCAGATGCTTCTACTTCTGGATCTTATATTATTATTATTTGCTGTTTATGTACAGTACTTTAGTCAGCCCCAGCTTTTTTATTTCAGCTTATTATTTCTTTTTTTGAATGTGCTTTATAAATTAAATAAACTTAAAATAATTATTTATATGAACACATGTATACATATCGTCAAGTTGGAATTATAAGGTGATTGGAATTATAAATGATTTTGAGATATTGAGCTTCAAAGTTTTGGCATTCCATAGCAAACAGTATGTGTGTAACATTTGTTTCTGAAATAAAACAAAAAAGTCTTAAAATGTAAACATCCCATAATGTAATTCAGTTGTTATTTAATAAGAATATGTAAATAACTCAATTTTGACAAAAATGTCAGATAGAACCTTACAATTCGAAGCTGACGATATATATATAAGTGGTTATTTTTGCAATAGATGTTGTATATGACACACACACACATATAAATATAAATATATATATATATAATATATATATATATATATATATATATATATATATATATATATATATATGTAACGAAATCCAATATGAACCTGTATGTGACGTGTGTAATTTGCATATTGCCATATATCAGTGTTTTATGTGGGCTGATGTGCAGTATTAGCTGAAGTCTGTCATTTCTATTCAATATTAAATTTCAATAGTTCAGCATTCCTTTTCTATTACATTCAAGACTGCTCATTATCTTGTGTCTGTGGTGTCGGTGCAGCAGGAGTGAGCAGATCACCTTAAACAAACACTGCAGTGCTGGAGAATCCATCGTCTCTCAGAGAGTCCACACTCTCCGTCAGCGCATGAGGATCAGACAGAGAGAGACTCCACAGCTCAGGGCTACTGCAGGATCATGAGTTTGCTAAAGAGAGTCAGAAGGTTTCTTCATTTCAGCAGGAACACATGTGATTGAGAACAGACGCTCGACTCGTACAAACCAAACCCTGCTGCATCTGGACTCAACATCAGCACTCAGGCCTGGAACTCATTCAGCTGCATCATGATGGTAAACAATGAGACCGAGAGAAGTGGCAGAGCAGATCCAGAAGGTCGTCCTGAAAACACAGAACCAACAGAAAAACCCTGGAGAACAGAAGGACACTGGAGAACCGACAGAAGAACACCGGAGAACCGACAGCAGGACACTGGAGAACCGACAGGATACGGGAGAACCGTCAAAAGGACACTGGAGAATCAACAAAAGGACACTGGAGAACCGACAGAAAGACACTGGAAGACCTGACAGAACGACACAGGAGAACTGACAGAAGGACACTGGAGAACCGACAGAAGGACACAGGAGAACCGACAGAAGGACACTGGAGAACCAACAGAAGGACACTGGAGAACCAACAGAAGGACACTGGAGAACCGACAGAAGGACACTGGAGAACTGACAGAAGGACACTGGAGAACCGACAGAAGGACACTGGAGAACCAACAGAAGGACACTGGAGAACCGACAGAAGGACACTGGAGAACCGACAGAAGGACACTGGAGAACTGACAGAAGGACACTGGAGAACCGACAGAAGGACACTGGAGAACTGACAAAAGGACACTGGAGAACCGACAGAAGGACACTGGAGAACTGACAGAAGGACACTGGAGAACTGACAGAAGGACACTGGAGGACTGACAGAAGGACACTGGAGAACTGACAGAAGGACACTGGAGAACTGACAGAAGGACACTGGAGAACTGACAGAAAGACACTGGAGAACTGACAGAAGGACACTGGAGAACTGACAGAAGGACACTGGAGAACTGACAGAAAGACACTGGAGAACTGACAGAAGGACACTGGAGAACTGACAGAAGGACACTGGAGAACTGACAGAAGGACACTGGAGAACTGACAGAAGGACACTGGAGAACTGACAGAAGGACACTGGAGAACTGACAGAAGGACACTGGAGAACTGACAGAAGGACACTGGAGAACTGACAGAAGGACACTGGAGAACTGACAGAAGGACACTGGAGAACTGACAGAAGGACACTGGAGAACTGACAGAAGGACACTGGAGAACTGACAGAAGGACACTGGAGAACTGACAGAAGGACACTGGAGAACTGACAGAAGGACACTGGAGAACTGACAGAAGGACACTGGAGAACTGACAGAAGGACACTGGAGAACTGACAGAAGGACACTGGAGAACTGACAGAAGGACACTGGAGAACTGACAGAAAGACACTGGAGAACTGACAGAAGGACACTGGAGAACTGACAGAAGGACACTGGAGAACTGACAGAAGGACACTGGAGAACTGACAGAAGGACACTGGAGAACTGACAGAAGGACACTGGAGAACTGACAGAAGGACACTGGAGAACTGACAGAAGGACACTGGAGAACTGACAGAAAGACACTGGAGAACTGACAGAAGGACACTGGAGAACTGACAGAAGGACACTGGAGAACTGACAGAAAGACACTGGAGAACTGACAGAAGGACACTGGAGAACTGACAGAAAGACACTGGAGAACTGACAGAAGGACACTGGAGAACTGACAGAAAGACACTGGAGAACTGACAGAAAGACACTGGAGAACTGACAGAAAGACACTGGAGAACTGACAGGAGGACTGACAGAAGGACACTGGAAAACTGACAGAAGGACACTGGAGGACTGACAGAAGGACACTGGAGAACTGACAGAAAGACACTGGAGAACTGACAGAAGGACACTGGAGAACTGACAGAAAGACACTGGAGAACTGACAGAAGGACACTGGAGAACTGACAGAAGGACACTGGAGAACTGACAGAAGGACACTGGAGGACTGACAGAAGGACACTGGAGGACTGACAGAAGGACACTGGAGACCTGACAGAAGGACACTGGAGAACCGACAGAAAGACACTGGAGAACTGACAGAAGGACACTGGAAAACCGACAGAAGGACACTGGAGGACTGACAGAAGGACACTGGAAAACTGACAAAAGGACACTGGAGGACTGACAGAAGGACACTGGAAAACTGACAGAAGGA